TGATTGCATCATTCTATAAACTCTGTAAATTTTCAATTGCACATTGACTATTTCTTCTATTCATTCTCAAAGTCCTTTAACCTTGTACTTTTCTTTATCTCTGAAACTCAGTACCAGTCAGTACATTAGCAGCATGCTGTCTGATAACTTTATCAGAGTGTAATCTCACTTCTCAGAGGTATACAGCCTTTCATTTCTTATTCCACTTCTACTTCCCCTGTAGGCCAGGGAGGGAAATTTTCTACCTAGGGAGTTTATCATTATTCAATATTGATGTTACTTGTCCAACAATCACCCACTTGAATGAGACCATATGTCAACCACCATTAGCACTTAAAACTTATCAATACTTATTTATACACAAAAAGCTCTTTTTGTTTTGTGGGGGATTTTTGCTTTCTAAATTTCATGTCCTGATTTAAGTCAGGGGGAAGAATGAAAATACAATGGAGTGTTAGGAAAGAAATACATCTTTTATCTATTCAAAAATGTTCACACTTGTTTGAGACTGTAAGTCAGGATTATTGTGACCCAGAAAGTACCTCTCGTATTGAAGAAGTACTTACCATCCATGTGTGAAGTTACCCTGTTCTTGCCACTAACACATATAATAATGGCCCTTTCTGTTTTACTTTTAGCTACACAATGCCAGTTGGAAGCCCTGGAGATGCCTGTATGATTGAAATGAGTGCAGATGGAAATCCTCCGATGCAGAAGAAAGACACAGAGGCAGCCCATGTTTCTCAGGTTGGAAAGCAAATATCCAGTTTCAAATGTTATTAATTGTGTCACGATATTTTAAATATTTGTTTTTAAATTATTAAGTGCTGCTGTTTCTTTATTGAACACATTTCTTGTAAAAACTCTCAAGAAAACAAAAGAAAATTCATCTCTGATACTTTAGGCATAATTAAATAAACTTAACGTGGTCTGTCATTATAAAACTTTTATTAAGTTTAGCAAGAAATTGATTTTCCTGTCACAATTTGGCTATAATATATTGTCAAACCAAAAAAAAAACCAAACTCACTGCCTTCAAGTCGGATCCGACTCATAGCGACCCCTCCTTGGGTTTTTGAGACAGTATCTCTATGGAAATAAATTGCCCAATCTTCCTCCCAGGAGTGGCTGGTGGGTTTGAACCACCAGCCTTCTGGTTAGCAGTCAAATGCCTTAGGCACTATGCCACCAGAGCTCCTATAATATATGGTACTTGTTTAAACAAAAAAGAGAGAGAGCACTCTGGAATGGGAAAAGGTTAGAAGATACCATGCAATACTTAAAACTTTACCTTTTAGAAGACACAATGGTACTTGTACTGCAGTGTTAAAAGCCTGTTCTCAGTTAACTAATTTTACCATGGCCAGCAAGTTTTTCTTACACACTTTGAATGAAGCTAAATTGAAAGAAGGGAGGATATCTCTCCCTCTAAAGACCAAGCAATTGGCTAAAATCTTTTCGTTTTAATGATGTGGTTGGTTACGTGCCTTTTAGTATGACTTTATTAACACATTTAAGATAAAGAATTCCCGGTTCATTTAATCATCATGGAGAGTTAATCTGTATAATTATAGCTCCAAAGTGCTAATTTTGGTAGGCAATAAAGCTAGCAGTGTGCATTGCCCTAATGAATTGAAAATTTCATTTTATTTCCATCTTTTTCCTATATAGTCTCTTATTCAGATACACAGATGTCCAAAAGAAGCACCTAAAAACATCTAATCTTTGAATAAGTACATTGTTGTGGCTGGTATTAGATACTGTCAAGTAGGCTCTAACTCAGAATGATGCTGTGTGCAACAAAACAAAACATTGCCCAGTCCAGTGCCATCCTCAAAATCCTTGCTGTGCATGAGTCCATCATTGCAGCCACTGTGTCAATCCATCTCATTGAGGGTGTTGTGCTTTTTTGCTGACTCTTTACTTTATCAAGTCTAATATCCTTCTTCAAGGACTTGTCCCTTCTGACAACATGACCAAAATAGGTGAGACAAAGTCTGGCTGTTCTCACTTCTAAGAAGCATTCTGGCTGCACTTCTTCCAGGACAGATTTGTTGATTCTTCTGGAAGTCCATAGTATTTTCAGTATTGTTCCCCAACAACACAATGCAAAAGTACAAATTCTTCTTCTGTCTTTCTTATTCATTGTCCTTTCATATGCATATGAGGAAATTGAAAATGCTTGGGTCTGGCACATCTTAGTCTTCAAAATGACATCTTAGCTCTTCAACACTTTAAAGAGGTCTTTTGCAGCAAATTTTCCCAGTGCAATATGACGTTTGATTTCTTGACTGCTGCTCCATGGATGTTGATTGTGGATACAAGTAAAATGAAATCCCTGACAACTTCAACCTTTTCTCTACTTATTATGATTTTGCTTCTCAGTCCAGTTATGAGGAATTTTCTTTTTTATGTTCAGATGTAATCCATACTGAAGACTGTAGTCTTTGATCTTCATCAGTAAGTGCTTCAAATCATCTTCACTTTCAGCAAGCAAAGTTGTATGATCTGCATAAAGCAGGTTGTTACTGAGTCTTCCTCCAATCCTGATGCTGTGTTCTGCTTCATGTAGTCCATCTTCTCAGATTATTTGGAGCAAATTGATATTTTGGACCATTCCAAAGAAAGGTGATCCAACAGAATGTGGAAATTATCAAACAATGTCATTAATATTCCACACAAATAAAATTTTGCTGAAGACAGTTAAGCAGTGGTTACAGCAGTATATTGACAGGGGGCTGTCAGAAATTCAAGCTGGATTCAAAGAGGACATAGAATAAGGGATATCACTACTGATGTCAGATGGATCTTGGCTGAAAACTAAGAATTCCAGAAAGATGTTTACCTGTTTGATTAACTATACAAATGCATTCAATTGTCTGGATTGTAACAAATTATGGATAACATTGAAAAGAATGGAAATTCCAAAACACTTTAATGTGCTCATGAGAAACATGTACAGAGAACAAAAGGCTGTTGTTCAAACAGAACAAGGGGATTACTGCATGATATAAAATAAGGAAAGGGATGCATCAAGTTTGTATCCATTCACCATACTTTTTCAATTTGAAAACTAAAGGTCATTAAAAAGACAGGGAAGAAAGAAAACACAAAATGGATGTCATAAGAGACTCTGAAACTTGTTCTTGGGCACAGAGTAGTTAAATAGAATGGAAAAAAAAAATGAAATAAAAGAGCTGAATAGAACATTTCAATGGGCAACTCAAGAAAACAAAGTAAAATGTACAGAGAGCTGTATTAGAAACCAAAAGGGAAGAACATGCTTGACATTTCTCAAACTAAAAGAACTGAAGAAAAAAATTCAACCTTAGAGTTGTGATATTGAAGGATCCTCTAGACAAAATATTAAATGACACAGGAAGCATAAAAGAAGAAACAGTCACTGTACCAAAAACAATTGGTCAGTATTCAACCATTTCAGAAAGTAGTGCATGATCAAGAACCAAAAGTACTGAAGGAAGAAGTCCAACCTTCACTGAAGACAATGACAAAAAACAAGCCTCCTGTGGTGGTTATGTTTATATATGAACTTGGCTGGGCCTGGTTGAGTGGGCTGAGCAGCTGGTGGTAGTTATTCCTCATGATAAGACTAGCCATCAACTCCATGGTGGGATCTACCATAAGCAGCTGGGTAGCTGCCTTTGGCATGTGGTCTGCTTCCTGTACATAAGGAGAAGCTTTGGGGAATGGTCTCTAGCCTATGGCATGCTTGCATCCTGCATGTAGCCATGTCATTGTTCAGCAGCCTGCCATGTTCTGCCAACCTTGGGACTTACAATGGGCTTAAATTAATGACCTGCCGTGTGGTTTGGTAACATCGGGACTGTGCCTTTTTACTCGTCAACTTTAGGGCTTCTCAGCCTCAACAGCCAGCAGCTGTCTAAGTGAAGAAATGCCTTTAGCTCCATTGGGCTGGGATCAGGAGGCAGAGCTGGACCCCAAGGTTGAGGGGCTTTCACCCAGCCCCTAGAACCTGGCACTTTGAACTTGGACTTAAAGCCTCCAAATTGTAAGAATAAACTCCTGTTTGTTAAGGCCATCTCATTTGTGGTATATTCCTGTCAGTGCAACACTAGGTGACCAGAACAGGATTTGGTACCGAGAGAGTGGGGTGTTTCTCTGACAGATGCCTAAAATGTAGAAACAGGAGTGGAGTGTGTCCTTGACCAGAGACCTTGGCAGAGAGACCCCAGCATACGCATGACAAACAGCAGGAGCAGAACAAGATACCGGCATGAGAGATGGCAGGAGCAGAGCTGAGAGAACCAGCATGAGACAGCAACAGCCTTACCAGCCCACGGAGGAGAAAACTGGATGCCTTTGGTTAGGCAGCTTACTGGGAGAGTGGGTTGCCTTCAGGCATTAATTGGTAGAAGAGACCAGCATAAAATGGAGTAGCAGGTTGGCTGGTCCACGGAGCAAGAAAGCTGAGTGCACACCTCCAAGAATTGACAGAATACCAATTGAAATGTTTCAACAAATGAATGCAACGCTTGAAACCTTCATTCATCTATGCCAAGATATTTGGAAGACAGTTCCCTGGTCAAATGACCAGAGAAGATCCATATTTTTGCCCATTCCAAGGAAAAGTGACCCAACTGAAGGTAGAAATAATAAAACAGTATCATTAATATCACCAAAATCCAAAAATCAAACTCATTGTTGTGGAGTCAGATCCGACTCACGGCGACCCCTCCTTGGGTTTCCAAGGCAGTATCACTATGGAAGTAGATTGCTCCATCTTCCTTCCAGGGAGTGGCTGGTGAATTTGAACTGCCAGCCTTCTGGTTAGCAGTCAAATGCCTTAGGCACCACGCCACCAGAGCTCCTCATTAATATCACAAGTAAGTAAAATTTTGCTGAAGACAATTCAAAAATGATTGCAGTAGTATATGAACAGGGAACTGCCAGAAATTCAAGCTAGGTTCAGAAGAGAACATAGAACAAGAGATAATATTGTTGATGTCATATGTGCCTTGGCTGAAATTAGAGAATATTAAAAAGATATTTACCTATGTTTTATTAGCTATGCAAAGGTATTTGACTGTGTGGATCACAACAAATTATGAATTACATTGCAAAAAGTGAGGATTTCCAGAACACTTAATTGTGCTCATCCAAAAATGTACATAGACCAAGAGGTAGTCATTCATATACAGAACAAGAGGATAATGAGTGGTTTAAAATCAAGAAAGGTGTGCATCAAGATTATATCCTTGCACCATTCTTATTCAGTCTGTATGCTGAGAAAATAATCTGAGACTATATGAAAAAGAAAATGGCATCAGAATTGGGAGAAGACTCATTAGGAACTATTGAGATGCAGATGACACAACCTTGCTTGCTGAAAAGGAACAGGATTTGAAGCACTTATTGATGAAGATCAAAGACTACAGCTTTTAGAATAGATTAAACCTCAACATGAAACAAAAATTTTCACAACTGAACCACTAAGCAGCATCATGATAAAAAGAGAAAAGATTGAAATTGTAAAGGATTTCATTTTACTGCAATCTACAATCAACACCTATGGATAGAGCAATCCAGAAATCAAATGGTGTTATTACTTTGGGCAAATCTGCTGAAAAATTCTTCTCTAAAGTGTTATAAAGCAAAAATGTCATTTTAAAGACAAAGATACGCCTAACCTAAGCCATGGTGTTTTTTATCACCTGATATGCATGCAAATAGGAGCTCTGGTAGCACAGCGGCATAGTGGCTAAGGC